TCACTAATTTGTAATAATAGCTGTGCTGAAAAAAGTGTGGCCTTTTTGATAATTAAGCAGTACAAAATTAAAGAGCCATGACAAAGGCATTGTATCTTGCTTTGAAAGTGGAAGAAAGCATGTGTAAACAAGCATGTTGCTTAACATACAAAGCGTACTCCTTAAATGTTCATTTTTATCACAAAATTTTACAAGTCATTTACCCTTAGCTTCATATTGTGAGATTTTGTTTATGTTTATTTTATTTTATGTGCTAGATCTTTACAGTTCTAATTCTAGCAAGAATCTTGAAAGCTGGGGGTTAGCTCTGGCTCTCCATTACTGCAGTGCAGGCACTGACTTACCATAGCTTCAAAGAAGGCTTCCCTGGATGGTTTGGGCCCATTCTATAATTATTCTTTTGATGCAAATGAAAACACACATGGCTGTTTCTGGATCTTTTTAGATATATCTTCTCAATTTATCATAAACTTTGCCTTACCTGATGAGCATACATAACAGACATATCTTGTTAGGTATATCCTTCCAGAACTACTCAAAAAGAAGATTTTTACATTATGCAGTATAAAAAAAAAAAAATCAGAATAAATTTTTATATACACCAAAATCAGTAAGTTACTTTGAAGACGTGTGCATTATTAGGTCACATTCTAAAGGTTGTGGAGGACATGGACAAAAGCTAGTTAAAAGATAGTGGTAATATCCAGAAAGCTTGAAGAAAAGGGTACAAGCAGCGTACCTTCCAGTTAGACATTTGTGACACAGGTGATCACAACAGTGATAGAAAAGGTACCACATTAGACACACCCCCTTCACACCATTTAAGCCTTTTGCTCCCTTTTAATTTCTCTCTAAAGCAAATTAGCATTATTACCTTCTACACTTTTTTTTTGCACTGGTTTCCATTGGGTTCTGGGCACACTTAATTTATTAAAACAAAGTCACTGACTGGCTGTTGAAAAGGAAAGATAAAAATCTGATTACCCTGTGTTTTTGTCTGTAGATCTAGTGGTTTTCCTTTATTACTTTAATTCAGTGATTATTTGGCAGGGGACTGATCAATTCATAAACTCTTAGTTAGCAAGTCTGCTTGTAACAATACCAATACCTGGAAGTAGACTATTATATGTATGTTTTCTCTCAAGTTTTCTGGAGAATATGTTGGTTCTTCCCCCTGTTGTGGGAACAATAAACATTTCTTTTTGTTCTAGGTCATCTAGAGTACATTTATTTAACAAGTTATTTTTGTTACTTAGTTTCTCAGCAAAAACCTTATCAATATAATTAGCAGGACCAGACCTTGGAATTTAACTCTCTTTTATTCCGATAACTAGCAATTATACAAGTAACACTCCCAAGAGGCTGAAATTTGTCACAGCTAGAGAAAGAGAAACTCAGACCCAAGAGCAAACTAAAAAGTAGAGATAAGGATTTCTGCAAAGCATGTAAGTATCTAAAATAGATGACCCTGTGTTTTCCTTGTTCCTGGTTCTTTAGCCTGTCAAGGGCTGAAACTATTCATCCACCTCCCCACCAGCTAAGCACTTCCAACTCAAATGAACAAATTCACTCTAGACCTGTCTTTCAATGCTGAATGCCATCTTCCCTCCCTCCCCTTAAAAATGAGAACACTAGTGAATAATTTACAGTGTCTAGAATGTTACTTTAAATACATTAAATTTAATATAAATTTAAACTGAAAATCAAAGCAGATTTCTCAAAATACAAAAGCCAATGTTATTTTGTCTGTTCATTGCTGTTATTTAAAAGGAGATGGTCAACATACATATTTGGAACAAGCCATATGAGATACCAGAATCAGTCTTGTACTAAGGCAACGTGACACCCTACAGACCAAGTCCCGTCTTTTGGATACTAACAGGCAACCCTAAAAAATAGGTAAGACATCCAATTTATCAAGACATTATCTTATCCCTTGTAGATACAAATATTATTTTAAACAGAACAGGTCAGACAAGTAACATTCCACATACATGATTCATGTACCAAACACACAATAAACTGAGAAAAAAAATTTATTCTATGAATGAAACATCTGGGCCCCAAATATCTGTAAACAGTTCAAACTAAAGCTGAAATTTTAACACATTGTCCAAAGTCGCTGGAATGTAAATCCAAGTTACAAAGAATCATGCAGCTCACTGCACGTTTGTCTAACATTTCTAATCTCATACAAAATCTAAAATGTTCAGAAAAATTTAAAACTACAACATTTCTGACATTCAGTTTCCAGAATGATTAAGCTAATATCTAACCTGCATGCAGTCTCTATAGGTCAGTGACTCCACATATATGAATTGATATGTAAGTGTATTACACATACTCTCTACCTCACTCTACTAACTGTGTATGTTATATACACAGGGAGTCCAAAGATTGATTTACCAAAATACATGTTTTTGTGAAAATCTTTTGATATGAAATATTTTGTTTCATACTACATTGAAATTAAACATGTTTATTCTGGCTTAAGCTGTTCATTTTTTTTTGTTTGTTTAAAAACTGAAAAGTCACTTTCAAAGCAAACATTTGTAATCCAGAATTCATTCAGAAGTAATGAGAAAATAATATTTCAGTATTTTTAATGACTTTTTTATTTCCAAGTTAATTAAGAGGAAAGGAAGAAGTATGTTTATTTTCTCATAAACTTTAGCATATACAAAAATAAATTGCACAACTTCAGGTGAAAAATTCAGACCTAGCAAGAATGGTTTTGATGACGCTTAGGTGATAACAGGTCTGAACTGGCTCTTTCAAGATATATTTTTCTACTACAGATATGAGATCCACCTAAATGTATTTTGTTTCTGTAGTGTAAACAGCCACATTCATAATATGAACACATGTAAATGGGCAATATGGGTCTAGAATTATGGCCACATATTTACAGATTGAGAATATCTGTAGTAAAATCAATTGATGTGGATTCACATTACTGTATCTGAGAGCAAATTAGACTCATTCATTGCTACTGGCCTGCTCACTGAATATTTGATTCACCTGCTAGAAATGGCTTTAAAACATTATGGGTCATAATGGCATTTTCTTAATAGCTACTTCAGTTCACTTTACATGTGTGGATTTTTTTTTAAATGAGATTTTAACTTTACCTATTATAGGATAAACCCTACCCCATCTACAAACTAATATCTCTGTTAGTTGCAGCTAACAGAATGAGGCTTGCTACAGCACATTCACAACGGAATTTGATGTGTTGTATTCTATTAAGGATTATCACACTATCAGCATGATAGCAACGGGACCTTACTGAGTTCATTTTTTATGAGATTTATGAGTTCATTGTTTATACCAAGAATGTTGATTTTACCATTTAAAGCATCCATGGTTCAAACATGTATTTCTGCTTTGTGAGGAAAGAGTTAAAGTCTATCACTTGTATAATATTTTTAAAGCTGTACAGTACCATACATCTTAACAATCTCGGAAGTTTAAGGAGCTGTCTCAAAGTAAGCAAACAAAGCAGAATTCATCTCTGCTCTTACTAGAAAATAACATCTGTGAAACATCTGATTCAACGCTTATCTTTGAGTAGTTGCTTATGACAGAGGTCATTGTATGTTTTCTAATGTTTTAAAACTTCAGTCAGAATAGAGCTCATAGTTAAATTAAAAGATCACAAGGAAGAAATGTTGAGGCAGAGACTTCTTAACCCATATACTCAGGGGAAGAAAAAAGTAGCCACCATTTATGACTGCTTGAAGCAGGACAGATTTCTCAGACACAGAAAATGCGGAAGGCAATAACAGCTTAGCAATTTCCGGGTCCCTTTCATCTAAACACTACATAATACTAAATAAACATTAGTGAATTAAGCTGCTTAACATATCTACAAAGTAAGTACAGTTAAGAAGAAATGTACTTACTTTTTTGGCAGATGTCCTAGTACCCTAAAGTTGCCGATTATAAAATGATCCAGAGCAATAGTTGCAAGCCATCAAGAAAAAAATACATATACTTTCATAATCTACAGAGTACTTTGTGAGAAGTTGGGGGGAAAAACACTCAAGATATTGCTGGTTGAGTAATTTTAAATTTATGTGGTTTCTTGATGAAAAGAAAAAGGCAAATTTTAAGAGAAATGTTAATGGGGGGGGGGGAAGAATCTATTTTTAAATCGTTGTTATCCATTGGTAAAATCTCCTTTTGTCAACTCCAAGAGCTCCTGAAAGTCCCACTTCACAGATATAGAAATACAGGACTAGTTCGAAAAACAGAAAAATGGAAATTCAAGTTACAATTAATTTGTCTGTTCTGATTATTTAGTGTATGCATGCACAACTTTTCATAAAAGTAGTAGCTTAAATATTAAAAACATGTCTGGACATGCTCACTTCCAGTTCTTGTAAGGCTTGGAAAGGAGGGAAAAGTATCAGTGTGTAATGATTTTAAATCTTATGTGGATACCTTCACATTGATGACGTGTTTGATTTCATAAAAAATTTTTCTAGAATTCTCTCAATTTCTTTAGGAAATTTCAGTAAATATAAAAAAAAAAGTTGTCTGCAAGTGTGTATCCTCTAATGGAGCACATCTTATACAGCGTAAGAATGTCCTCTAACATCATTCCAAGCCAGAATTTGAAAATTTTCTGAAAAATTTTCTCAGCTAATCACAGTTACGTATTTTCATAATTCTATTAAAAAGTAACAACAGTTAAGAACTGGACTCAGACTGTAACATCCCTTTCATTTCAAAGTATATACTTGCATCTTTAAGGATTATTTTTCTTCTAATGCAGCAAACGCATGAAACTAAAGCATGTCTTAAAAAACCTGCAAAATGTTCTAACTGTAGAAAAGTATCAGTGATAAAACATTAGTAGAAGCATTTAACATTAGAGCACCAAATTCTTGGCTTCGTTACCTTGATTCAACTATATTAAACGAGACAACAACATTTTGTTAGATTGCAGTGATAAGGTCTGTTGACATGTCTTGGCAGGAAAATAAAATAAAAAATTACCTTTGCAAACCACTGAAACAAGTTTGCTCATTCCGTTTCTTTGCTCCTATTCAAACCACCTATTCATAGTTTTAAAATAAATAAGTCATAAATAACAATAGGACTAAAACTAAATAAAACTGTATATGTATTATCTTATTGTATACCTATCATCTTGATTATTTTTCAAAAGTTTTTGGCTCCTATTTATACAAAGCTCTCTTCCATATTTGTGCATAGCAGAAAGGAATCCACAAGTCTGGGCTTTACTAGCTGCTGAAAATCTGAATCTTCAAGTCCATCAGGACTCATAACTGCTAGTCTCCGTAAGGCTGCCTAGAAAAACAAAACAACACAATTGTAATATTGTTAAGGTTTGACAAAGTCTTCATTGCAGGAATCCATTATAACTATCTCCAAATAATAGCCAAGACTCAAAACTGAACTGTGCAGGTCTATGGACTCTTCTACCTGGCTAATCTCTCGTTACTATCTTCATCTGTCAGATGAATATCTCCTCAAATGCAGCTATTAAATGACAATTTTTTTTGGTCACATTACTCTTAGACTTGAGCAGCAGGGACAGTGTGGTGTTAAAGAACACAGAGGTGAGAGTCAGAGCACTTTGATTGTAAATCTATCTTTGATCTGCTGCACGTCTCACGCTGCCTCTTTGTATCTCAACTCTCCTCTCAGCTTTTGTCTTATTTATGAGAACTATAAGCCATCTGATTCAGAAAACATCTGCCACTGAAATTTTATGCAATGCCCATAACAGAAGTATTTTAGATACTAGTGTAGTGGAAAGAAGCCATATATTTCAAACCATTTGGGAACAAGTAAAACTGCCAGTTGTTCCAATTATGAGGCTGCACAATGCAAATTGCATTGATGTTACTATTATCTTCATAAACTCTTCCCTTCTAAGAAGTTACTTGTTTTTCTCACTGGAGAAAAATATACGACAATTACATACCTTCTAGTAACCTGACATGACAAATGCAACTGGAAAGCAAGCTGGCTTTCCTCAAGAACAAAAATTGTCTTCTATTAGTAAGGTCTGATAGTTGTGATCAGCTTATCTCTGTGCTGTTCGTCAATGCAGCACTAACACAGGAGTTAATCGCCTGCTTCAAAATATGCAAAAAGTAAAAAACCAAGCTAAAAATACCAAACAGTACAAGCCTTCATACTGTAGTGACAACACCTATCAAAGCCTGAAACAGCTTATGTCTCAAGGACAATATTTTTGCCACATGTTTATCAGAAAGTGTCATCAGGCAGTTACTAAAACATCAGGAGAAGAATAATTGCTGAGAGACAGGCAGGTAACATCTCAAACAATAGGCATGAATTCAAGGAATGTGCAGCAACAACTTCAATGAGACAGAAGAATCACAGTCTGGTTTGCTGCCATCATTCTGTGGCCTCTGCTCTAGCCATACAAGATTAACGAGCCTTCTCGGCATGTATGAAGAATAACCACAGCATTTCTTACACTCACATTCATAGTCTCTTCACCCTGAATAAGTCCTGCTTAAATGAACAAAACTTCTCATGTGCTGGTACAAAGCTAGCTGTTAATCAAAGCTGCAATAACCAAGTTTTACTTTTGCATGTAAAATAACGTTAATACTAAAAAGCACTGTCAAACAATATTCTTCAGTCTTCATTCATCAAAACCTATCTCCTAAGCCTAGATCACCCATGTCCCCATAGCACTTTCTCTCACAGAATGCTAGGTGAAATTACTCCGACAGTTGGCTGGGGCATACAGTCCATGCAGTGCAGGGCCAGCAGCTGGGATCTTCTAAGCAGAGAAAATGTTAACCTTCTGTTGGCCACTGCTTGGCTGGACACTATATTGTCTTGGAGACTCAAACAGAAAAAAAAGGATTGTAGTGAAAGCAAGAAATCTTCTTGCCTCTCTCTGGCCACTTTACATAAATGTTTCCATACATATGTGTGTGTGCAGATAAAGGGCTGCTACCCCTGTGATTCAAGGCTCATTTCAGCAAACATAGCATCATCAGAGAATGGAATTTAATAATTACTGAAACCTTAAATTCTGAAGTGTTCCAGTGAATTTTTTTAGTGCTCAGTAATGTGAAGATGAAACCATTTTTCCTTATGTGCTTAAATCTTCAATCAGAGAATAAATAATTGACACGGTACAGGATTATGCTCAAGGGTAAAAGCAGGAGACCCTGGCATGAATTTAAAACATTCCTGCAATACTTATGCATTTGGAAATCTAAAGGGCTGTTTTTTCTGTATTTTTCAGGATAAGCATGAAAGAAAGATTAAAATGTACCTACCAGACATGCCACTAAAACAGAATCACTGTTATTTCTTTCAGTTGGTGATCTGCAGAGTTTAATTAGGCGAGGAATACCTGAGTGCACAAAAGAGTATCAGGAGAAATAATTTAGAAAAACAAACCCCTTATTTTGAGATGAGGTCTTTTTTTAAATGTTTCATGCTTATCTTCCTTAGTAGATATGATCTCTAATGCAAAGATGATATGCAAATACTTAAGGCACTGTCCATGGAGCCATGCAGATCAGAGCAATCATAATTAATAGTTGTAAAGCATAAACAAACAAAAGCATTGTTTTTACCTGCTACTGCTGTTTCAGAGTGGAAATTGTGACCTCCATTTCCTCCCTATCAATCCTCCCACATGCCCTTAAAAAACTCCAGCCAAAAGAACATGTTGCTTCTCGTTAGAATCATCACATCTGAACCTGCAGGGGTCCAAGTTTTCTATCCACTAACAGATCCTGCACAAGGGTTTAAATAAAGGAATGGAGGAGGCAGCACTGTCAGTTGGCACAGTCTGCCACAGATGTGTGTTGAGTGGACGCTGTACCTCAGGTTCCTCTGGGAAATGAGCCAGAGGTTCATTTAGCACAACCTCGTCACTCTCTGGACACACTGTATAGGGAACCTATTCCATAAAGCGTACCAAGTAAGGCTAAAAATTAAAAAGAGCTTCTCCATGACTGGCAGTTCCTCCCTCTTTTTCAGTCTGCCATTAAGCTAGTGGTATATCCTTACAGCTGAGTTTTACAGCTGCATCTGCCACTTCAGGATCTCGGCTGAGTCGTGCCAGCGTAACTGCAGATTTCTGTTGGACTCGCTCACAAGCGGCAACTTCTGCTGAATTTCCTGAAGATGATCTTTCAAAGAGCATTTCCATTAAAAGTTGAACACCTAGAAGGATGTAAAAGCCATTGTTATCCTCTCTCCAACAAAAAACTCAGTTCAAAAAAGTAAAGGGAAAAAGCAAGCTAGCTAAATACAGACCAATCACTGCCCAAATAGGGCATGAAGAATGCATAAATGTGGACTACAGTTTGGCCATCAGCATTCAGACACATCTAATCTGTGCGTAAGTTCGTCTTCACTAGGAAGCTACATCTGGAACTAGAAAATGCACTAACTCTTCCCTCCTCCAACTTCTTGACTCCTCTACAAGTTGGTATTTTAGATTTCACAAATTTATTTCAGTCAAACTAAATGCAATTCTTTATTTGCTTATAAACTAACCCGAAGGTAATCACTAACCTAAAAAACAGTAGTGACATATTTCAAGTCTCTACATGAAGTTTTTTCCTTTGAAATAAAGGAAAGTAAAACTTCTTTATTTCAGTTTATGTATTTTTAAGCAAGCCTTTAAAAGTTCCCATATCAAACTGTTTAAAGGTATTTTAGAATGGGGAATCCTTTAATGAGGGAAACGATTAAATTCTGCTTCTTGAAGTTTACTGTGCGACTAACTCTTCACTTCAGAGGAGACAATGTCATCTATGTCAAAATGGTTTCAATAATTTATTGTTGACTGTAGGAGTTGATACTCTTATTGTAGCAGCACAAAACCAGATGAGGCTGTACTGATTTCTATTTTCTAGATTATTTTAAATGTAAGGACAATTATGTGCCATTAGACTCCATACGCTATTAGGCATTCAGATTACTTCAGGTAGCATCAGAGGATTTTAACTGTTAGAACATTTGCATAAATAATTAAGACAATTAGCATCAGAATCATGCAGCTAGATAATAATCAATCGACATACAAAAAAGTCAAAATTGAGAAGAAAACATATCTAAACTCTCGAGGATTGAAAGACCCTTCTCTTTGTGGATCTTGGCTTTGTGGATCTGGCTTCTGACCAGCATCCACTTATTACAACATTAGGCAGACACAAAAAGCCTTTATACACAAGATGAGTGTCAACCCTTCTCAAAAGCCTGGGGGCAAATGGTTCTGTGTGAACTTCCATTACAGAGTGTATACACAAACTTTACTTCATCACATTGTGCTTGACAATTCACATGTACATCTTCACCTGCTGTAGTATCTAGTATGAGTTACGCCTAGTTGGCATAGCTGTTAGTGTAATTTCATGAACTTCAGTCAAGTTTCTGCTATAGTAGAAGTATATGAAATATGATCAAACATCTGTCCCAAACAATAAAGCAGGTTTTGGTGTGCTCAAGGAAATAGATAGCCAAACTACATAAACAATCTGTTAATCTTAAAGGAGAGCAAAAGCTTCCAGAGCATATCTGGATTGTGAGTGCTAACAACAGCAAATCAGAAAACAACAGCACAAGTCAAATAGACAAATCACCGACAGGGTATTCTCTACTCAATCCTGTAATTACAGACACCTAGAGTCCTGGGAAATGTCAGGGTCTTACCAAGAGTTTCTAGAAAAGATTCTGGATAGGGAAGCCCCATGTGCCTGCACCAAGAGGTCCAGGACCACCTCTCCAGCCTCCAGGAACACAGGGAGCTTGGACCAGGAGCATGGCAGGAACCACTACGTGGACTTGACCAACCTCTCTCTGGGACTGCCCCATCCCTCCTATGCAACAAGGAGGTCATATAAGAAACCACCATGCTAACCTGCCTTGCTCCTCCCCCTCACTGCACTGTCTTCTGCATGGGACAGGGAAATCAGGTAATTTGTAAGATTGCATATATCTGTGATTAAGTTGCTTCAGTATCCAGATCCATTCAACCTCCACATTGTCATTTGGTCTGAAACTGCAACACCTATCCACCTTAGCAAGGACATCAAATGCACACTACCTCTGTGCACACATGGATCACATCAAGCAAATTAGTTGTGCCTCAAATTTTCCACTGAAATGCCAGAAACATCTAAATCCAATCTTACATAGGAATTGGCCAATTCTATTTCAAGACCCACTTCTATGTAGATGATTTCTGAAACTCCGCCTCCCACCTACAATCAGCCATGTCTGAGATTCAAATGGATCCAAACTCAAACCATTCTTATCCAAACCTTAATTAAAAAAGCGTGGAAGGAATATTCCTAGGACAGAAAAAGCAATATTTGTGAAGCTTCACTCTAATTTAATATCTCCCACAAAAAAAAAAAAAAAAAAGAAAAAGCTGTCTTAATGTATTGTTTGGCCATGAATTTGCTAGTAGGTGTATTAATAAGGCAATTACGTCTTCCTGTATCCTTATCCACAGAATTATTAACCTAACTTCTCAGACTTCTGGTGGGCCTATAACACCTAGGGTTTTTTCAACATAACGAATTTCTCATAATATGATATTTAAAGAAATGTGGAAAAAACCTGGCAACTGCTGTATAGTAATAAAAACATAATGCTTCAAAATTTATAATTCTTCTGAATACCTGCGAAAAAAGTGACACAAAATGCAGTTATGCATAGCTCAGTATCAGATGATGTCTTTCAATGTGGAAGAATTGCCACCTTATACAATGTAATTACCAGAATAAAAGTTGTTGAAACACGTTGTACTACCTTGCTTTGTATCTATGAATAAGTCACACACAGAGAGAACATCAGCAATATGGTCAATACATGCAAAGTTTTCTAAAGGAGTGCTAATTTATTTCAGTTACATAGAACCATCTCAAGGACTTATTTTGCATCCTGTAGAAATGTGCCATATCCAGCAGAGACAGGATGCAAAAGGAAGTATTATTAGTGAAGCCTTTCTCCTTTACCTTGTAACCACTCCTTTCCCATCTACCCACATTCTTCACAAACAAATACAGAATATAATTCAGCTAAAATACATACCATTTCCTTGAATGATTTCTGAAGCACACTGGTCCAAGACAGACATGTTTGCCAATATTGTTACCACCTGTTATTAAAAAGAGAAAGATATATGAAGTATAGCCCTACAATTTAGTAATATTAAAACTCACTGTGTTTTATAAAATTAGTATGGCAGAAATATGGCAAACTCAAAATTAAAAAGCATTCTTGTCTATTCCTACCTTTGTGATTTCTCAGGGGTCTTTTCTTACATATGGCTGCTAACTGAAATCCAGACAACAAGAAAAGTAAAACCTCTTTTTCTTACACGTCTATACTCATACATAAAAGTCTGTCATATAGAGATCTATGCAGCAGATTTGTTCAGTGGTCAAATTGGTAGAAAGAGGAAGATAAAAATTTGTAAAAACCAACCAACCAAAAAAACCCTGGAGTCCTACAAAGAATTCAGCCAGGAGCTGCCCACCCTCAGGAACCAATCCTGTAGTCACAATCCAGCTCAGGCAGAGCTCACTGTGAAGGCTAAGAACCAGCACATAGCGTACGTTCAGCAGCACTAAGTTATAGCTACCTTTCTGCTTCAGGGTTCAGCTGAAATGTTGAGTAATCCTCACAACAGATTTGGAGTTTTGAGCCTTGATTCAAGGGAGTATTTAAGGAATACTTTTCAGTTTTATTGAAGCCGTAAGTTGCGTGCGTGTCAAAGCACTGTCCCCAAATGAGCTGGATTTAAAAATCCATTTATACCTTTCCTGAGCTAAGGCCAAGATTAGGTCTTGTACCAACAGAAGCACATTTTGAGATCCTCGTTTACAAAATTTCTTATCCAAAATAGCACTAACTGTTTTCAAGATTAGGTATAACTCAGCTTGCTTAAAGTGATGCAGCAAGCCATTGACAGAGACTGGATCATGTGGAGCTGTTGGCTTTCAATCACCCATTCCCTTCATTGATATCATATACTTTCCCTCATACATCCTGCAAGATATTCTTTTTTACTTTATCCTTCAAATAACTTGCTTCCTGCATGAAAACACATCTCAATATTAACAGCATATGTGAAAGACCAAATAATAAATGTTATAGATCATTAGAATACAAAATAGAAATATTATTCTTTCTTAAGATGTTTTAATTTTCTCTATTCTAGTTGAGAAAAACCAACCAGCCTCAAAAATAATGATCAATTTCAGAACTGGTTATCAGCTTTTTAAGGGTACAGTGTCAGTTCACAGACAAGCAAACTTCTTAGATGTGAGTAGGCACGAGATCAAATCACCATTCTGATCTCACTTTGCAATTTTAATAACAAGGATGACTCATTTTCGATGCTGTGACATAAACGTCTTCCACTTTTGAAGGTAGTGTTACAGTGTCATCTCTCTGAATAAATATACTTACTTAGGATGCAAATGAGTTGCTGAAACTCTAAAGAGTGACAGGTAGAAATATGGTAACTCAGTATATGTCTATGTATTTATTCCATATTAATTATTAACTGTATTTTAGGCAAAGTGTATATGTTTTCTCATTCTAAATTATATCCTGTTAATGAAAATTGCTTCCTCTATGCAGAATCTGTACCCCATGTTGCTCTCTAAGACACAGATGAAGAATTCAATTAACCACAATTTGAATATGTGCCAATTATTCCACTGCTTCAAGTTATTTTGTCTAATAAGTATTTTCATACATAAAAATATTTTGTGTATATCTTTTGACACCAAAAATTATTTGAGGTTATATCTATACTTCCTTTGCATTGATTATGTGGCCCCCTATATTTTGCAATGTATTTATGAACTAGCCTAATGGGTTTATATGTAACCTTCTCCAGAGGGGTTTATAAAAGACCCTTATCATCAATAACCATCAAATTCTACCTATATTGTCTTTTAAAATCTTAGTAGGACTTGAAAGGCAGCTAAACTATAGATTAGCTCACTCCATATGGATAGATTTTTCTTTCCCCAAAAGAGTCATATTTTCCTGTGATGTAAACAATGCAACATGAAATAACATAATGTAAACACATAATAGGCAAGCTGAATAAAGGGTTGACTTTAAATGCTATATTCCTCCTATACTTGCCTATTTTAAAATTCAGTATACATGCAGCTGACATGAAAATTTCCTCTGTAATACAGACCAAAGTTCAAGGAAGTTTAATACTAAAGATGAACTCTCTGGAGGAAGACACGAACTTAAACGTAGACTTAATTTGCTTTGAAAAGCAACACTTCTGTGAGCACTGGTATTAATGAAGTGTCACTTCTTTTGGATTTAGAGTTGATCAAAAACCATAAACAGAACTTTTCCAGTGGCATCTCTCCCACTGTTTTTTTTTGTCTCATGATACATAGACTCACGCTGCAGTCTTTATCTTAGCCTCTCTTTCCCATTATCTGGCTCCAAATTTCATAAAGCCTTAGGCAGTCTTTCAAAAAGAACTGTGAAGTCCTGTTGAATCGGCAAACCATTTCAGATGTTATTGTGAGACATGGAGCACACAAACAGATATAGATAAAAGTGACTGCCTAAGCCTCATTTCCACCAGGAAAATAGATGAAAATTACTGGGAAAAAAAGATACCAAAACCTCTTTCAGAGTTGAAATAATTTTGAAAGAACTGAAAGACTTGAAAATATTTAACATGGAATCTCTACTGTTCAACTGCAATATTTAGTATCAATTTCATTGATTATTCAAGACATTTCTTGTAAAAGATTACAGCCCAAGATAATAAAGGACTGGCACCTGAGACAATTTATGATTCTTGAAATTTTTCTGGATTCCTAAGCCATGCAATGAACTTGTAGTCAGCTCAAAGTATAAAAAAGAAGATAACCTGAAGACAGGACACATGAGCTCTGATCATCTGCCAGTGCTTTCATAACATGCAGAAAGTCTGTGCTGAAGCCACCCACAAATTCCAATACCGTAATGATATCTTGATATGTGGGATCTACAGATGTGTTATTAAGCAAAGACTGACAGAGATTTTTCCAGAGAAAAAAAAAGAAGTTGCTTCATCATATGTGGAATTTTTTAATGAAACATCTGATCTCGCATTCTATTGCCAAACCTAATGCAGGATTATAATAGACTGCCTTAGAAACCATGTGCTGCAAGAACTGATCCCATCCAGCATAATTCCCTGCCTCAGCACCTGTGTGTCTGCTAGGCAGATCTGTCCTGGAGCTAGATCTTGATCCATGTGTCTCCAATATCTGTATTCTAGCAGAGCTCTGCAACAGACTAACCCAGGCTAGTCAACACTCTGGTCTCTGTTATCCAGATCAACCAAAAATTGCAGGTGCTTCTCTACAGCAGGACTCTCATAAACCTGGTGGCTGCAGCTTTCTCTGTGGGAATTGCCAGCCCTAAAACCACTGTAGTAATGAACACCACAGAAAAATAGACTTGATCAACAAATAATGAACTAATACATTTTGCCACCAGATGAAAGCTGAATTATTCAAGTCAGTGTCACATGATTTACACTATTAAAAACAACCAGAGGAACAGGCCTCTGGGGTTTATCCCTGCGTTCATTACCTACCTGTTAATATGTGCTATGCATTACGCACCCAAACCACATAGTAGTGAGACACAGTAAAACACACAAAATGCCAGGAAGAGAATTCTCAGACCAGCTCACGTTTTAGCACCTTTTGAAGAGGTACCAACTTATCAAAATATTAACATGCAGATAGTTTCACTAAGACTAGTACGATTTTTCACAAGGCTAAGAGACTAAGGAGTTAACTTTCAGAGCTTTCAAAACCATACCCAAAATCACGAAGCTTTGAAAGTTCACCTTTAAATGATTTGTTGGTGAATTAAGTATGCAGGGATATTTGCGGGGGAGGGGACTCCCCTTCAGGCCCATGGAAAATTTCCCTTTTTAATAAACAAACTTAAAAATAATAGAGATATTTCATACTTTTCAATACAGCATCATTTTGCTAGTCTCACAGTTGCCCTGAAAATTAATCTAAAACATAACTAAAAATTTCTATAGGCAAAATAAACAAACAGATAGTAAACACAGACACCTCTCTGTAGTGACAATATCATCCATTATTATAAAATTGGCAGTGTTGATCTTGTTGGTTACTCTAGTAAACAAAATCTATTTTTATAATTTGAAAAGTGTTTTTAGTCCCACATAGTTTCCTTCCAATCACCCAGCCTTTCACACATACTGAATTCATGAATGATGAACCTTCCTTTTCAGTTCTGCAGTCTGCTTTGCACTGAACATAGGAATTTCAGTTGTCAAGAGTGATTTAAATTTGAGAAACCATGGTTAATTAAGAACCTTTAAAATAGTTTTGTTCAAAACCCCTTGAAGAACAACAGTCAGCTTGGAAATTCTCTTGCTAAAAAAATGTAATCACTAGCACTATAATAACACTTTTCCTTCTAAATAACTAATGGTGACTAATGCTCATTAACCAGTGCACAAAGGTACTGAACATTTGTTGCAAAACTGAACACTAGGTGAAAATGCTTTGCTATAAACTAAGATACATACACTGAGAGTGTAAATCTCAAATGCTTTAGGTAACAAAGAGATTTAAACCTAAAGTGCACATAAGAAACAGAAGGCTTCTTTGATAACTTTCCCTTAACGGGAGATTTAAGATGATCTAAAAGTGTTTCTCATTATTGTGAAACCAGCTACTCAGGAAGAAAGATGCAGTAGGATTTGGAAGATGAAAGCACACGTTTTAGCCTCTTAAAGGGGCAATATCTTCCACATTTGAGGGTCACTTACCTCACTTGGGGGAAGGGGAGGTGGAAGGGTCTACAGAGGGGGAAGATGTGATGCTCATATACCTTTATTGATAATAAAAGCACACTGTTCAGTAAGCTTTTATTGACAGTCCCAACATAAATAGAAAGACAAGCTCAAAATGAGAATTAGCAAGTAATTTGAGTGGCAAAGTAGATCAATATAGAATTGCTAATTCTTTTAGCTAATTACTCCTTTAAGGCTGGTTCATCACTAAGTAAAATTAATTTTTCTACATATTATAAGAGTATTTTGTAATTTGTTCAAATAAATGACATAAGGAT